TCCTCCAATTTTCACCGACACAATCTATTTGGGTCCCTATAGGGGTGCCTACTACCTTGGGTTATACAAGTAATCCAGTGAGTCAACATTCCAAACACTATTTATAGATCATGAGCTCTCACCAGTTTGCTTCCCACTGACAATCTTCTAATAGACTCAGCTCTTAGCAATTTTTTAGGTAAAACATCAAAAACAGTAGCTACAACTGAACCTGGAATCCCTTCTACAACATGATGAAGCACTGGAATAGGACTTGGTATAAGTCATCCTTACATTGAGATAAAATCTTCTCGTAATTTCTACCCTTTGCTCCTAGCTCTATTTGCTGAGGATAAGCAGACCAAGTTTACAATTAAACTCTTTCATGTAACAGCTTCTCAAATACTTGCAGACAGTTATCACATATCCCCCAAATCTCCTCTTCAGACTAAACATCCTTCTTTCCTTCAAGCGATCCCCATATTTAGATTGACCTCAGCATTCTATCCTGTGGATGCTTTCAAGCTCTTTAATGTCCTTCCTAAAATTCATTGCCTAGAATTGAACATAATACTACAGATGTGGTTTCCTCAGAACAGAGTAGAGCAGGACTATCACCTTCCTCTTTCTGTAAGACTGATTTCTATTCCCACTGAAATCCCGTAAGCCTCTTTGATTGTTACATCACACTCTTGTCTCATTGATCTTTTTTTTTTCACATGGACTGATATCTAGCCACATATCCCATCCTATAATTCCACAGTTGGTTTTTTTTAACTCAAGTAAAGGATTTTATAATAATCCCTCTTTAAAAAATCATTGAACATGTTAGTTATTCCTTGTGTTGTCTGTGTATTTAATAAATATGCAAATACATGTAGAGATGCTAAATGAATACTCTGTCTTGACAGAGTGCTGAACTAGATGTCAAAAAGACCTGAGTTTGAATCCTGCCTTCAGACAGTTACAAGCCATATTATCCTGGACAAGTCACTTATCCTCTATCAGTCTCAGTTTCCTCATTTGTAAAACGAGGATAATAAAATTACTTACCTGATAGGGGCGTTGTGAGCATCAAATGAGATAATTTGTGTAAAGTGCTTTGCAAAATTTAAAGTGATTTATAAAAGTTATATAAATAATTCAAATACACATTATTACACGGCACTTATGCTTTCATCTGGGTCACTGATAAAAATGTAGCTCAAATGAAGGTCAAGCAAAGCAACTTGTGGCTACTACTTAGAGACCTTCCAGTCTGATATCAATCACAATGGGTCCAGTTGTTCCATTCTGAACCTACCAACAAACATTTATTAAGGGTTAGCCATGCTGGGTGCTACAGATACAAAGACAAATGAAACAATCCCTTCCCTCATGGATCTGACATTTTAATGGGAAGACAACATGTATGCATATAAGTATTTATCAAATAAATACAAGATAAGTATAGGAGGAAGATACTAACAGCGGTGGAGTGGGAGGGGGGAATCAGGAGAGGCTTCATGTGGGAGGTAGAGTTTGAGCTGAATTTCAAAAGAAACTAGGGATTCTCAGAAGCACAGGTGAGGAGGAAATGTATCATAGGCATGGGCATAGCCTAAACAACTGATATGGGGGCAGCTAGGTGCGCGGTGAATAGAGCACCGGCCCTGAAGTCAGGAGTACCTGAGTTCAAATCTGGCCTCAGACCAAAACACTTGACACTTACTAGCTGTGTGACCCTGGGCAAGTCACTTAACCCTAATTGCCTAAAAAACAAACAAAAAAACAAAAAACAAGAAAAAAAACCCCAACTGATATGGAGATAGCAGAAGGAATTGTGTGATAAGAACCTGCAAACAACAATCACTGTCACACAGACTGCACCTGTTGTCAATCTCATTCACGTGGCTACAGGGAGAGATTGTCAAATGCCTTGCTGAAATTAAGTATACTGTGTACCTGGCATTTCCCGGATCTACCAGTCTAGTAACCTAGTCCAAAAAGGAAATGAGGTTTGTCTGGTATAACCTGTTATTGTTGAACCCATGCTACCTTGTAGCCTTTCTAAGGCCTTACAAACCACCTGAGTTCAAACCTTTCTGGAATTTCCCAAGAATTGCCATCAAGCTCATTGGGCTATAGTTTGAAGACCTTCCACCTCTTGAAAATCAGAAAACTTGCTTCATCTGTAATCTGGCATCACCTTTAGCATCCCTTCTGATTTCTAAAGATCACTGAGAGCAGGTTAGAAATCTTATTGATAGCTCCAGTTTTTTCAGTGCCATGGGAGGGTCATCAAATTTAGAGCTGGAAAGAATTATAGAGACCATTTAGTCAAACCCCTTTATTTGAAGGTGAGGAACCAGAAGCCCAGAGAAGTTAACCCTCCCAAGATCACACAGGTCATGCTGACATGAATTTGGTGAGGGCAGCATAGTGCTAGCTCTTTCACCATCTATTATCTTAGGTTTCAATTCCCTGTGAAACATTTTTGTTCTATACTTCCCCTCCTGAGGAGGATTCTCCTTGGTAAATAGAAGTAATGTTAAGTAGTATCGCCTTCCTTTCCTTGTCTTGTCATTGATCTTACATTCTCCTTCAACTTAACTCAGCTAAGAAAGTTCTTTCTAACACTTTTCTTCTAAGACCATGCCAGTTTTAAAATCTGAGCTCATTGATGAGTTCCTCCATGAACCAGGCTCATCTCTTCAAATTTGTCTTCCTTCCCTCCCTTATCAAAATCATAGCAATTACAATGACAGGATTTTTTTTTTAAGGAAATTGGGGTTAAGTGACTTGCCCAGGGTCGCACAGGTAGCTAGTGTCAAGTGTTTTGGTCTGAGGCCAGATTTGAACTCAGGTACTACTGACTTCAGGGCCGGTGCTCTATCCACCTCGCCACTTAGCTGCCCCTATGACAGAGCCTTTTCTTCAGAGCATCGCATATCTATTGAGGATCTGATCAAGTCATAGGGTTAGAACTGGAAGGGATCTTAGAGGTTGCCTAGTCCAATCTCTTTATTTTACAGATGAAGCAACAAAGGGTCAGAGAGATTTGCCCAAGGTCACACAGCCAGTAACTTGCAAAGCCAGGATTCAGACCCAAGGCCTTTGACTCCAATGATAGTATTCTTTGCACTGTATTATACCGAATGTCCCTTCTAGAATCTTAGGCAGTGGGGAAATTATGTTTCCTCTTGAACTCCTCGAAATCTCCCCCTCCCCCCTTACACACACACACACACACACACACACACACACACACACCCCAGTCATTTTTCCGCCACGTCCGACTCTTTGTGACCCCATTTGGGGTTTTCTTGGCAAAGACACTGGAGTGATTTACCATTTCCTTCTCCAGTTCATTTTACAGATGAGGAAACTGAGGCAGACAGGATGAAGTGATTTGCCCAGGGTCACACAGCTATTAGAGGTAGAATTTGAACTCAGGTGTTCCTGACTCGAGGTACTGCTCTTCATCCAACTTGCTGGCTAGGTGCCAGCAGTACTAGAGTGGTCCTCTCTCAACCTAGAAGGGGAAATATGGGAATATTGGTGTTTACTTTTGTCTAAACCTTTCATTATACAGAGGAGGAAACTGAGGCCAAGAGGGGTGAAATGACAGTTTTGCTCAAAGTTACAGAACTAGTTAGTAACAGAAGACTAGAACCAGTGCTCTTTTCACTGTACCTCTCCTTTATTTCCTTAAGTTCCCATCTTCCCTTAGAGCTCTTGGAGTTTAGAGTAGGAGGGTAAGGTTTTGCACGTTAATTTAGCCTTTGTGGCTACCTCTCTCCCAAACATCTTCCCCCAGCAGCCCCCAAGCCAACAAATTGTGTTTTCCTTCACTTCTGAATCACCCTGTGGCTTTTTGCTATACTCATCTCCCTATTTCCCCAAACCTTACCCCAAAACACGTAGTGAAAACCACCTTTCCTAAAGGGCAATCTCTTTTTAGATCTCAAGGGTCAATTCCACCCCCTCAACTTAGAAACCTTCTTTACACCCCAGTCCCATCCTCCCTACCCCCAGATGAAAATATGTGTGGGGGCGGTAGGTGGGGGAGATTCAGCTCCAGCACAAAAGCAACTAATTATGGAGAATGGCTTGAGGCAAAGTCAATTGTTTATACAGTGCTGGAAGGTGAGATCTGGTTGTCACTTAGCCAACCACAAACATACCACAGGAACCAGAGGCTGGAAAGAGAACCCAAGGCACCTTAGAATACTAGCGTTGGGAGGTACCATAAATGTTCAAGCTGGAACTTTACAGCTAGAAGGCATCTTAGAACATAAAAGGGGAATCATCTAGTCCAGTATTCTCTTTTGTTGCTTTCATTCATTCACTCGTTTGTTTGTTTTTAACAAAGGCAAAAACTCTGCTCTGGATAAAGACAAAGATGTGCTTCCTCTGTCCTCAGCCCATGATTACAAAAACCAGAATAGGAGCATGGGGATAAGCCTTGTTCAAAGTTGTATTTAGGATTACAAAGTATTTTATATCCATTATTTGGTCATGACAATAACCCTGTGGAATTAGCTAGTCGAAGATTATTATCCCTTGTTTAATTTAGCAAACTAAGGTCCATACATTGGTTTGCTAAAAATAATTAAGACAAACACTTTTCTTTGGGATGATTCTTTCCCTATGGTCAAACTTGTCCCTCTAACTCCCAATCTCACTGTCCCAACTGCCTGGACTCCATCCTGCTAACTGCAGCTTAGCCCTTATCTCCTCTGACCAGTCTTATGGGAGTTATCTACGGCAACCTATAGATATGATGACTGATCAGTGAGTCAAGATTAGGAGGGGAAGTGCTGTGACTAAGAGCTGGGTGACTGAAACCTACAAAGAGCCCCCAAACCCAAGCTGAACCAATAATTTCCATACCCCCTACTCCATACGACCCAGAGTGCCTCCTCTCCCTAGAGATACACAGTAAGTGTGACCGGGGAGAGACCGGGGGAGAAAAGGTTGGGGGAGAATACAGAATACACTTTTAAGTTTAATCTGTGTTATTAACACTTTAAGTCCGGGCAAGCGACAAAACAATAAAGCAAGCATTCGCTGGCTTCCTGAGGTGTATTTAAATGCTTACACTCCTCATGCTGAAAATGTACAGTCTGCTTTGCGAGCAGGTTAAAGCTGGTCCCAGAACAGCTTGACTGGCCACAAGTCTAGAGCTCTCTCTACCACTCCATGCTGCTGTTGTCGTTGCTCTTTGCTCTTCAAAGAGAACCATGAGATCAGGGAGGTGATGCCATGCTAAGAAAGGGTTAACAACCTCTATTTTACTTTCTTTGGGGGGAAGTTCCGAGACATTTGAAAATTCCCCTACTGGACATTCCAACTGAGGGAATGAACCCTAAAGTGAAACCAGGTAAAAATGTTTCCCCGACCAGAACGACCTGTGTCTCTCCAGTGGCCCTGTGCCCACTCAAAACCCCAAGAAGTCTGGGTTGGAAGATCCCAAGGTTTTCATTTTACAGGTAAGAAAATAGTGACTTGCTGAAAGGTACACAGCTGGTTAAGTGGCCAGATCCTGTATTTGAATCCAGGTTTTCTAATTTCTAATTCAATGCTCTTCCTACTATTCCACATTGTCTATTGACTCGGTCCAACTCATTTCCTCTTTTCTTGCCAATGGCAGTATGTAAGGCACTCTACAAATGAGAGGAGAGTCTATCCCTACCCTTGAGGAATTCACCCTTTAGCCTCCCTTATCTTATCCCATTTTTTTACTCTTCTTTCCTTTTTCCTGGCTTTGGCTCCTGACATCTCTTCCTCAAGGCTTTTTCTACCTCTCTCAGGATCAGAGGTCTTTCAGGCCAGGGTAATTAGAGTGTAGTATTTGCATAGTCCTGGGATCTCAGCATTCTGGAAATCCCCATGGGTGACCAGCGCTTCCTCTCTGAGGTCAGGGTACGTCAACAGAACGCTCCTTCCCCTCTCCTTCTGCTGTGAAGAAGCCAGGAAGTCAGCCTGGGCAGCCTGTTGAGGCTGATGCCAAAGTTACAGCCTGGTACTTGGCATAGAAAGGGCCCAAAGGGACAACCACTCCCCCCTGGAAAATGGCTTAGAAAGCATGGAGGAGGGAAGATGATCGGTGGCTTAAAGACACAGTAGCATGTTCAGAATACTGGCCCAAATAACCCTGTGCTATATTGCAGTGGAAAGAGAATGGGGCTTGAAGTTTGAAGATTTGCATTCGAGACCCTGTCTCTATCACTTATTGAGACTGTGACAAAATTTCTCCCCTTTCCCCAGGCCTCAATTTATTTATTTATAAGACAGGGATGGTTTTTAAGGCCCTTTTCAGCTTTAACATTTTAAGTTCTAGGGCCGGGGTGGGGAACTTACAGCCTCAAGGCCGCACGTGGCCCTCCAGGTCCTCAAGTGCAGCCCTTTGTCTGAATCCAAAGTCAAAGAGCTGCACTTGAGAACCCAGAGGGCCACATGTAGCCCTGGCCACAGGCTCCCCACCCCTCTTTTAGGGTATCCATCATCTCCAATGTTCTGTTGTCTAAGATCCCTCACAGCCCTGGCATTCTTTCTAGTTCTGATTCCCTCATGCATTGATGAGATCTGACCACTGTCACCTTTCTCTGTAAAACAGTCCATCTTCTTCTGGGCACCTGGTCCCCTGGAAGAGGAAGTTCATGGGAGGTTTTGAGGTGTTATGAAGCCAGGAACTACAGAAGTTGGAATAGCTTTTTGGTGGTGGCAGCCAGAAAATACTGAGGCTGGGGGTGGGGGGAGAGTCAACATCCCTTTCCTGCCTTTTGCTTGCCCTCTCCCTATGGCAACGTGGAGGACAGAGAATATCACCTGTCAGAGGACGCTAGTCTAACCAACACCTGAACAGGAAATCTCATGTATAGTATCTCATCTAAGTAGTAATTTAAAGACTTTAAAGACCCCAGGGATGGGAGCTTAAAAAACAAAACAAAGCTGAGGGAGGGGGGCAGTGTTACCTTAGATGACCTCTAAGTTCCCTTCTAGCTCAGGTATTCTGTGTTCTAGGGTTCCCTCTGGATCTGACATTATATGTTTGCTTTAAGAACCTCATCAAACAGCCCATTTCCTTCATGGATAACTTTGATTGTTCAGAAATTTTTCTGAATGTTCTCTCTGAAACAGAAAGAAAGAGAAGAGACCTTAATGATATTTGGGGGACACACACTTAAGCTAGCCTACCTAGGCTTTTTCCCAGTCCACCAGGATGAGGTCCTGGATGGGGGTGTCACACTCTTTGGAGGCAAAAAGAGTAATTTGTCTCAATCAGAGAAGGGAGAATCTAGCTTCCATCTGAATTCTCTACTGGTGACTGTCTAGATCCCTACCACTGGTAGTTGTGAAAATTCAGGAAATTTGGGACAGGCTCAGGTTCAAGGACTGGACGTCTGAGAAGATGATCTGTCTTCATGTTCTCACTGGAAAGAGATTATTTACTATGTGTGGGGGAGTATATTTGTCTTCCCTGCTGGGAAGTGTGGGTAAATATATTTGCTAATGAAATCTCTTTAGTCCTTTTCCTAAGACCTAGCTCAATGATTTATACCACATTTACCATATAATCTTGAATCTTTCCTGAAATAATAAAATGGGGCCTGATCTAGGTCCTAGTCTTTGCTCTCTTTCTAATTTGCTGTGTGACTTTTGGCAAGTCCCTTTGCCTCTCTGGGCTTCAGTTTCCCATATATAAAATGAATTTGGACTGTTCTTCCTATCTCTGACATTCTATAACTTGCAGTCAGGAAACCTAGATACTCTCTTCTTTATCCCTGACTCATCCATATAACCTTGAGTAAATTATTTAATTTTCCCCAACTCCATGGTTCTTACCTTTAAACAGGGTACATTACCCTGCCTTTGTACTTTATAGGGTAGCTGAGAGGAAATACTTTAATGAGATGATAGAGGTGAAAGGACTAGGGCCATTGAAATAGAAGGTAGCATTACATGCCACTCCTTTCTTGCCTCTAGGATAAAACACAAGCTTCTCTTTGGAAGTTTGTGGGTTTTTTTAAGCCTGTCACAACCTGGCTGCACCCAGCCTTTTTCTTTTCTTTTCTTTCTTTCTTTTTTCTTTCTTTCTTTCTTTCTTTCTTTCTTTCTTTCTTTCTTCTTTCTTTCTTTCTCTCTCTCTCTCTCTCTCTCTCTCTCTCTCTCTCTCTCTCTCTCTTTCTTTCTTTCTTTCTTTTGGCAATTGGGGTAAGTGACTTGCCCAGGGTCACACAGGTAGTGTCAAGTGTTTGGTCCGAGGCTAGGTTTGAACTCAGGGCTGGTGCTCTATTCACTGCTTCACCTAGCTGCCCCCCCAACCTCTTCCCAATTTATCATGCTTTATTACTCTTACACATTCCAGTCAAATAGTTCTACTTGCTATTCCTCGTTTATATCTCCCACCTCCATGCCTTTGCCTAGGATGTCCCTTGTACCTAGAATGCTTTCTCCTCACTTCTGCCTCTTAGAAAACCTAACTTGCTTCAAACCTCAGTTCCAATGTGATCTCCTTCTAGGCACTTGTCCTGATCTCCCCAGTTGCTAGGGCCTTCCTGGAGTCATTTTGTATTTACTTTGTACATGTGTTACATTTACTAATCAGTGTACATGCTAATTCCTCTGTAAAATGTAAACTACATGTGGGCAGGACCCGTTTCATTTTGAGTGTCTAGAGCATAGGGGATAGGGCAAGGACTGAACCTGTGATTTCATTGCCATGGGGAACTCCCAGAGGAGGATACTCCTACCAGTACAGATCAGCACCTTCTCTTTAATTTCTGGTCTTAGAAACTTGTCTAGAGTTATGGAGACAATGTGTTAGACTCAGGTCTTCTTGGCTTCAAGGCCAGGACCCTATCCACTATGACATCCTGCCTCTAAGATATACAGTAAGCACTTAATAAATGCTTATTGATTGATTACAGTATGGCAAAATGCATGTTGTAGAAGCAGTAGAAACATAGACTCATGTTTTGTTTAAGCTGGGAAGAGATTTAGAGATCATAATTCAACCCATTCTCCTCCATCTATAAGTGGAGAAACGCTTTTGAGGACTAAGTTCTACATTTCAGTGAAATAAATTTAATCCAGAATAAAAGTTCAGTAAAGAGTTTTTCACTAGGTTCTTCAAGAGGCCCTTACACTATTAATTGGGGATTCCCAGCTTCTCCTGAAATGAGGGAGGAAAGCTGGACTCTACTCCCTGCACCCCTCTGGAATCCCATCTTACTGTGATCAGACTCCCCTTACCACCCAGGAAACATTCCAGTGAATAAGTGGAAGCAGAAAGAATGGGAATGAACAAGAGGAAAATGTTAGCTGAGGATCTGGAGAGATTTCCTCACCAGACCAGATGAGTCTGGAATCCCCCACTTGCAGCATACTGGGGCAAAACCAGAGCCTTCTGGGAATAACCCAGTGGAGGAGCTGGGTTTGTAACCTCTGCCAGTCTCCTCTCCCCCCCCCCCAGTTTGTGATCCAGACTCTGAATCATCATCTTTCCACCTTCCCTCAGTAGTCTCCCTCCTTCCCCTTCCAAAAGGAGTGACCTCCAATCTGGGAATTGACCAACAAAAGATTGTTCAATAAAAGGGAATGTGCTTGTGTTTGTGATGTGTGTGTGTGTGTGTGTGTGTGTGTGTGTGTGTGTGCGCGTGTGTGAGTGTGTATGTGTATGTGTGTGTAAGAGAGAGAAAGAGCCTAATCTGGAGTCTCAGCTGGGCTTGTGGGGCTGGCTGCCTGTTGTCTCCCTCTATCTCGGGGAATTCCCCTCCTCACTAGAAGTCGTCAGCCTTGTGTTCCTTCCTGCAGTCTCTCAGTCAGCTGAGGAGGATTCGGATTGTAACTCCCACCCTGAGACCCTTCCCCTCTCTCGCCCTGTGAAACTGGTGAGTAACAGACATTTATTGGACTGGGGGAGAGGGCAAGAAAGGCAACAGGACCCAAGGCTAAGGGTCTTCTTTCTAAATGTCCCTATCATAGTTCCTTCTGAAATGAGAAACAAAGGCTTCCCCCCTTGCCATTTCCAATCTGACCCTTCTCAGCCTGGCCAGCTGGTCATCTGTCCTGTTCCTCCCTTCACTTTCCTCAGCTTTTTTCTTTTCCCTCTTTTTCCTATTCTATCTCTTGCCTGCTTCCTTTCCTTTCACTATTTTTCTTCTTTCTCTCACCTCTCCCATTGCTCCTGGATTTGGGAAAACACAGATGGATTTGGGAAAGTTCTGTTTTACCCTTTGGTTTCTTCTGGGAGAAGGTGGGTTGGGAAGGGGGTCTACTGGGAGCTTTGGATCCTGGATAGGAAAAGGCACGTGGGATATTTAGGGCTGTTGTCCAGGATTTTTAAAGCGCTGCCTTATACTTTATTAAGCATAATATCAAAATGATAGAAGCAGATTCCTTGCCCCTGTGACGAGGCTCCTTGGTATGGTAGTTAGCTACAAGTGATAAAGCCAAGGTCGTTGGTGGTAGTGGCCCTGCGGGGATGAGGTGTTCTTTAGTACTTTAGTCACCAAGAATAAACAGTTTTTCTCCAACCTAGTAGATGAGAGAGAGCTGGGTTATCTTTGGATTGGGCATATCCTAGTGGATAAGGAGAAGAGAGCATTGAGAGAGGACTAGGCAGGACCATCAGAAGAAACCCACCCAAGTGTCTCCATATGGAGTGAGAGGACCTGGCTTCTAATCTGACCCTATTACTTACTAAATGCTTCTTCATCAATAAAATGAAGGCACTGGACTCCGTTTCTAAGGTCCTATCTAATTTTAAGTCTTCTGAGGCAGGAGTAGAATGAATAGAATGGGACAGAACCAAAGGAAGGGGGTGAAGAAGAGGAGTTGAGGAAGCCAGCTGGGGGGTGGGAAGAGGAGGAGGGGAAGAATGGAGTGGAGGCCAAAGAAAGGAGACCAGTGGGATGAGAAGCAGAGCCTGGCAGAGTGAGGACTTGGTCTGAAGAATCAGGTCAGTACTTTCCAGAATTAGGAAATTAATCTACCCTATTAGTCTCTCTGTTCATGGTTCCCCAAGGGCCAGTCCTTGACTATACTCTCTGTTCTCCTCATTCTGCTGCCAGATTAGAAACTGGACAACCAGAAGAGTGGCTCCCCGACTTAAAGTGTGAGACTGCCCTTGTTCCTGCCCCTGCCCCTGCCCCTGCCCCTGCCCCTGCCTTTGCTCCCCACACCTCTGTCTACCTTAGCCGGAGGAGGGCCAAGAGTCTATCTGAGGTCTTCCCAGCAGCTGTCAGAGTGGGAAAAGAATGGCAGCGTTGGGCCTTCCTTGTTGGAAGGCTTGGGCTGAGCTCAACTGGGCTGGGTCCGATGGGGGAAAAAGGGAATTTCCCCCAGTGTTTCTTTGCCTTTTCCTGTTCTTGGGCTCCCCATCAACCCTCCAATGAAAAGAAGGCATGCAAGAGGAGAGGCTAGGGGTAGGATGTGAAAACAAGCCAGATTGAGAAAGGCATCCTGAAAACGCGGAGCAACTTCCTATGCACATAAAGGGCCAGAACCAATCTGCGAAGCTCATTTTCCCCCCTCCCTGTAAAGGGTCCAGAGACAAGTTGGACTTGGCCCTCCACAGCTCCAGAGAGAGAAGCTGGGGTCCTAATGACAACCTGCATCCCCACCCCCACAATAGCTTTCGGGGATAAGAAGCACTGAAAGTGTCTCGGGTTTCAAGAGACAAGAATGGAGAATGGGAATGAGGAAGGAGCACTTAGGACTTGGAGACTTTGATTTCAACCCAGGCTCAACAGTGCAGTAAAGAAGGCCCATGGGTCATATTCGCTACCTGTGTGACCTTGGACAAGTCACTTCCTGATCCCTGGGCCTCAGTGCCCTAATCTATTAAATGAATGAGTTTAGATCAGAAGTTTCCAACCTGGGATACATTTACCTCTTCTCCTACCCTCATGTTCCCTTATCATTTGAAGCTTATTAAGAATATTTAGCAAATGATATATTATCCTACTGAAATTCATTGATCTCTTTTGTCTCTCATGTACATAGGCACAGCAAACTCTAGAATTTATTTCCTTTCATTTTGAATAGGGGCATAGAAAGGGGTGGTGGGAAGCTTACTGAAAGCTAAGGGGTATAGGGAAGAAAAAAGATTAGAAACCCGGGATTGATTGATCTTAAAGGAACTTCCCAGTTCTTAAAGTTCTCTAGTTTGTGACTCAGTCTTCAGAGTGTGGGTCTGGTGAGCTTGGAGATCGGCATGTTGTTTGCCCTGGCAAAAACCCTGGGGGAAGCCGTGATAGTCCTTGTAGGAATTTTGAAGGAGCAGTTTTCCCACTTTGTTGAAGTTAATAATAACAGCTCACATTTTTAGAGGTTTGCAAAGTGCTTTACATACATTATCTCATTTGATCCAGAGATAAGTAGCTAGACGTTGTACTCCCAGTCCCAGGCTTTGGGGGTTAATTTTCTAACCTGGAAATCCCCTTTCCAGCAGGTGTCAGGGATAGGGGGGAGCTCCTCCTATTCTCCATGCCTCCTTTCCCAAAGGGGGTGCCCTATTGGGATCTTCCTGAAAGTAGGAAATCTGAAAAGATAAACCGGAGGAGAGAGATGCTTAAATGCGGTTGTGGGTGGGTGGACAGAGACTTGTTGGCTGGCTGGTGGGAATTTGATAATTTTGCATTTGTGGGTTTAACAGTGGATTTGCAGAGGTACTGTGGTATCACAGAAAAAGCCCTAGATTAGGAGTGAAGAGACCTTTAGATATTATGCTACTGTCTCTCCAGTGTAGAGGACATAACCTGGAGGGATTTGGTTAGGCTGTGAGGTTAAAATATGGGGCTTCCCCCCGCCCGGCAACGATCCTATACTGAGGTGATTAACCATGGTTCAAATGTGTGGAGTATCCTGGGACTGGGTACTCACCTACCCATGCCTCACTGGGAATGCATAGAGTTAAGGCTTTGGAGTATATCCACACCTATCAATGTACGAAAAATGAATGAAAAAGCATTAACAGCTTACTATGTGACTTACAGACTCTGTGCTAAGTACTAGGGACACAAATACACAATCAGATACAGTCCCTGCACTTAAAAAGATTATCGTCTACTAAAAAAAAACCCCAACAAAAACCATTTATTGTATAGCATAGGTTTTTAGCAACACAATGATTTAAAGATACAAATTATGTCCACTTTAAATCTTGTGCACTTGAAACATTTTAACAAAAAATGCTTCCAATTAATTACTAATTATAATATGATCAATATCAGTCCTATCCAATCAAGGCCATGCATTGAAATACTTTTGTTTTCACTAGCAAAATGATGCCATGTATTTTCCGTATTCCTTTTTAGAAGTGTGGTTCAGTACCTGAGTTTTATTTCAGAATAACTCCACTGTATAATAATATAATTTCAAGAAATTATTTAGAAATAAATGTGGTATACCATAGCAAAATTATCCTTTGTTCTTTCTCTCTTTTAAACATATTATTCTGTCCTTTCATTCCAATCAAGTGAATTAAAACAAAACTAAACCTGGAAAATCAAGCCCTCATTACATAGCTACATAGACTGATAAAACAATTTTCCACATCGACCATGTCCAAAAATGTATGTCTCTTTTTCCATTTTAAATTCATTGCCCTCTTGGTCAGGAGGCAAGTGACTTTTTTCATCTTTATTTTTTTGGTCTCATGGTTTTACTATTCGCTTAAATCCTGATAACGGGAGAGAGTACACATATAGGAGTGGAAATAGGGGAAGGGTATTTTAGTTGAGAAAGTTACAAGGATTGTGAATGAAGTATGTGGGGTAGAGTAATACAACCTTTCCAGGGACAAAGACAGAGTCGATTCCTAATCTTAGTCACAAACACCTGTCCTAATCAGTCCAGACAAGCACTCACCTGGTCATACCCTCATACCTTTTACCTGAGGTCAAGAGATTTTCCCTCTGTGTGTCAAGCCCCTTCTTGCTCTGATGTTCTATGACTTGCTGTTTTCTAACAGACTGTATGAAAATTTTTAAAGGGGAGAAGTTTATGTCTGGTTTTGGTTTCTGGTGTTCGTCCAGGCTCAACCTCTATCTACTGTTCCTTGAAGGTCTTTGATCACTTGGCTATATCTACCACCCCATTCTTTGGGGATCAAACTGACAAGCGTTATTGGCTGGCAGGAGTTCCAAAGGAATGAAGCCAGAATGTGAGAATCACAGAGTCACAATCAGTTGACATTTAAGGGGACATTTGCTGCCATTCTTGAGTTTTTCAGTCAGGTCTGACTTTCATGACCCCATTTGGGGTTTTCTTGGTAAAGATACTGGAGTGGTTTGCCATTTCCTTCTCCCTTTAAAGGAATGGGCTCCTCCCAAGCAATGCTGGCCAAATCGTAAGCCCCTTTTCTTTAGATTGTTTTTGTCTTTGTAGATCCAGGTAACTCAGATTCTGATCTGAGGGAGGGGGATGATGTCCTTGAGTAGGTTGGGCTGATCCTATAACCCCTTCCCCCCCTCATCCCCATGCTGGACATGGCACAAGATTCACCAGGAAGCATAATTTCATAGGTCTCGAGCCCAAAGGGAGCTCCCAGACCATTTGGTTCAATACTCTCACTAAAAGGGAAGACTAGCTTTTGAATTTCTGAAATCATTATTTCTTTTAGCTAAAAAATTGCTTTGAAACCGACACATGGCTTTTTAAAGCCATCAGTAAGTAAGCCAGTCGGTTGACAAGTATTTACTAAAATGCTTTTATGTGCTAAGCCCTTGTGATAGCAAAGAAAGGCAAAAACTTCCCCCTCCCTCAAGGAGCTCACATTCTAATGGTACTTTTCTTTAGTATTGTTGTCAACAGCTGAACCTTGCAATCAAACACACAATTGATAATGAGTATTATAGGCTCCAAAAGCCTGGGGGTTTCAGAGATCTGAGGCCAGAGTTTTCAAGCTGACCCTGGTCCTGCTCTGAGACCAAAGCTTTCAAATCCTCCTTGTACTCAGGCTACATGGAGAAAAAAATGCAGATAGTGATGTAGCGTCCGTTAAAAAAAAAAAAGACCCACAAAAAACCAAAAAACAAAGCACTTTTTTCTGGATAGAGTTTGAGTCGGAGGTCTCCTTAGGTTTGAGGGGGTGGGTTGAAAGAAGAGATAATAGCTGAAAAAGGTTAGCTGAGTGAGGGAAAGCAGCTAGGGCAACTGAGTGGGCTAGTGTATTTGAATGTATTTGGGATTGGGATGTGTACAGAAATGTTCATGTTTGGAGATTTTTTTGGTAAATACTTTTTTATGTGTGTTTGATGATATATTCAGGTTAGAACACATGTGCGTACCTGTATGTATTTGGAAGCCTAGCCCAACTCTCCTCAGTCTTTCTGTCTGAGCTTTGCTACATTTCTCTTTATCTGCCTTTAAAGCATATTATAATTATATTTTATTATTTTAACTTTAAATATTTACGTGAACTGGGCATTAAAACTGTTTTGAGATTTTGGTCACATTTTTGAGATGCTGCAGCACAACTTGGATTGCTGTAAGACTCAGGTTGAGAATCAAGGGTTTAGGGTTTACTAGGGTAGAATATGAATGTGTGTTTTAGTGCCCGAGGGGCTATGTGCCTATGCGTGGAAATCTGTGTGACCACATCTGTGTGAGTGTCTTTGTTTCTATGTTTGCATGTAAGCGTGTATGTGCTTATATCCATGTATGTATGTCTACTTCTGAGCATATTTGCTTGTTTCTGCATTCAATTGAACAAATACCTTTAAAATTTTTACTAACTGCAAGCCAAAAGGAAGGAAGGAAAGAGGAAAGGAGGAAAGAAAGAAATAGAGAAAGAAAGGAAGAAGGAGCAACTGCTGCCCTCAAGGAACTTATATTCTATTGGGGGGATCTAGCAAGTACCCAGAAAAATAAATATGAATTGTGTTTAAATTAATATAGTGTAATTTTTAAAATGAGAGCCTTAACGACTTGGGGGAATAGAGAAGAGCCTACTTTAGGAGGTGGTGTTGATTCTGTGTTCTGAAAGAACCCAGGAATTCTATGACTTGGAGGTGAGGAAGAGGGAAGGTGGGCCAGACTTGGATGACTGTCTTTCCTAAGCCACTGAGGCAGGACATGAAATGTGCTGCACCTAGCTAACAAGCCTGCTCCACTGGAACAAATTGTCCAAGAATGGGAAGTTGTATTAAATAAAAGAGTGGAAAATTAGGAAAGCAGCCAGCATGAGATTTTGTATGTTATCCCAGAGGCAACAGGGAGCCACTGTGAATTTTTTTTTTAATTAGGGAAATGGCATCATAGAATCTCTGTTTTAGAAATGTCAATTCTTCAGCTGTGTGAAAGGAAGACGCATTGGAGAGGGGCGAGATTAGAAGCTGAGAGACCAACTGAGAGGCCATTATTGGTCAGCCTAGAGGTTAGAGATCAGGAAGGAGAATGGAGAGAGATATTAACAAGAAGGCTACTGTAGGACTGACCAGTCTTGGCAACTGGTTGAATAAAAGAGGGGTTTAGGATAAGGAAGAGTCAGGGATATTTACACTTTGATCACAATGCCTTGGCTTCCTTTGAATGTTTCTGCTTTACTTTGTACTCATAATACTTAATAAATATTTATTGACCAAACCTTTCAGGAGCCTCCTTGGAGGGTTTGGACTCCTTGACCTCTAATGCTAATAGTTAGAAATTATATAACACTTTAAGGCTTGCAAAGCACTTTACATATATCAGCTCAAAAGATCTTGATGATGTAGGTGCTATTATTATCCCCACTTTTTTTTTTGGTTGTTTTAGGTAATGGGGTTAAGTGACTTGCCCAGGGTCACACAGCTAGTAAGTGTTATGTGTTTGAGGCCACATTTGAACTCAGGTCCTCCTGACTCCAAGGCTGGGGCTCTATGCACTGCGCCACCTAGCTGCCCCTATTATCCCCATTTTACAGATGAGTAAACCCAGGCACAGAGAAGCTTTGTGACTAGCCCAGGGATTAGAATTCAGTTCTTCCTGACTCCAAGTTCAGCACTATTTATCACTAGAATCGCCTAGATGCCTAAAAGTCTAGATCTATGCTCTTACGGGTGTATCTGTGTTTGTGGAAATGTGTGTGCATGTGCGAGTGTATGCTGGTGGAAGTGTGCGCACGCACACACACACACACACACACACACACACACAGACACACACATCAGTCTGTGCAAGGCACAGGTAAACCCAGGGCCAAGAACGCGAGGACGGCTCGGGGACTGGCGCCGGTCTGAGCCCGAACTGCTCCGAACTGTTCCGAGGAGCGAGCCGAGGCTCGGCTCGGCTCCCCTCCCCCTCCCCCACTCCGCTGTTTATCATCTCAGCCAACGCCTCCCCGGCCCGCCCCCAAGATGGGAGCCCCATAGGGCGGGCTTCCCGTCAATCACCGGGGACTTTCCCAGGGGTGGGGCTGTGGAGCGAGGCCTCCTCACTTCCTCCCTCTCCCGCCCCTCTCTGCGTCCCGCCCCGGCCCCCACCCCCGGAGGAAGTGAAGCCGGAACCCCCGAACCCCGAACGCGGCCGAGACGCCAAGGTCGCGGACCCCCGCAGGGTGGGCTTGGCTCGGGTAAGAGCGAGCCTGGCGGCGGCCTCGGGGCTTGTCCTGTCGCTCCCTGGGACGGCTCTGACGGGCCGGCGGGAGGCTGAAGGAGCGAGGGGGGTGACGGGGCCGGCCTGGGCTCTCGGGGGTGGGCCTGAGGTGGAGGGAGGGCGTATGTTTGAGTGTGTGCAAGCGGGTTTGTGCATCCAAGGCGAGGGGACTGCCTGCGCGGATGTGTGTATGCATGTAAACATAGGTGTGGTGTCCCATGAGTCTCAGTGCAGTTGAGACTCCTGTCAGTATGTAAGAGACCCGCGGTGTCCCAGAAGTCTCAGTGCAGTTGTGGGCTATCGAAGCTTAAACTGTTAAGCAGTTATAAGCTTTTAATAGCTGCGTTGTATGTCAGTAAATATAGAGGATCATATGTAGAATATACCTATGGTTAATTGCATGTCTACCCAGTTACACTTGCATAGCGTGTACGTGAGATTGCACGTGTACACGTTCTTAGTGTGTATTCGCAGGGGTTCACAGGAGTATGCCTATTAAGCAGGATTGTACCTAACTGTTTCTATGTGAATATGAGTAATTGTACGCCCAGTACAAGATGACATGCGTGTCATATTGGAATGTGGTGCAAACATACGCGAATGTGTAGAGGAGTCTGTACACTAAGTGGGTTTGTGCATGAAGGGATAGGTGTTTATGTGTACATACATGTGTGTGACTATAATGTACTTTATAAATACATTACACGCATGCGTAATTGTGCCTATTCAGTATATGAGTAGATG